GCCTCTGCCATCACCTCTTACCATCTCATGCTCAACTCATGCTCTTCCTTTTTTATGGTCCTGGTATCTTCTGTCTCTGCTTCTGAGATGGCTCCTTTTAAACCTAGCTGGAGGGCAAAACTAACCAATCCCAGCCTTAGAGTTCTGTATACCTTATTTGCATGGTCCCACCTGATCACTTGGTGGGAATTAAGAAGACGTTGGATAGAAAAGCCATATTAAGTTAATTCAAGGTACCACAGCCTGGGAATCTACTTCTGCGAAAATTACAGCCAGGAAAATCCGAAGCAGCAGCTGTACTCTCTAAAATATGGGGTCAGCATGAGTCAGAATCCACTTGATGGCAACAGTTTCATTTCTTTTTTTCCCTTTAAATCTGACTAAAGATTTGCAGGCTTGGAAACCCTATATAGGGTCTCTATGATTAGGGATCGATTTGATGCCAGTGGGATTTGGTTTCGAATGGAATGATGTTGAGAATCTGTTTATGTGCTTGATGTCCACTGTCAATTGTTTTTGGGGAAATGTCTATTTAAGTCCTTTGTCTACTTTTGATTGGGTTGTTTATCTTTTTTATGCTAAATTATACGAATTTTTTGTACAGTCTGGATGTTTAACTCTTACCTGAATATTAATACGATTCCCCCGAATTTTCTCCCAATCTGTAGGTTATCTCCTCTGTTTGTTGTTAACAAAAGTTTTTAATTTTGATGAAATCTAATGTACCTATTTTGCATTTCACTGCTCATACTTTTGGTGTCATATTTAAGAATCCATTGTGGAAAAACTAGGTCACAAGCCATTATCCATATATTTTCTTTTTAGAGTTTTATTTCTTACATTTAGGGTCTTGATGATTTTTAGTTTATTTTCACATACACTGTGAAGAATGGACTCAGCTTCATTCATTTTCATGCAGAAATCCAGTTGGCCTAGCGCCGTTTATTGAAAAGGCTATTTCCCCCCTTTGATCAACTTAGTATCCTTGACAAAAATCAATTAACCATA